TCCTGGTGGATTTGGGGGAGATCCTGGGATGCTGGGGTTCCTGGTGGAATTTGGGGGGGTTCCTGATGGATTTGGATGGGTTCCCAGTGGATTTTGGGTCCTTGATGGATTTTAATGGGTTTTTTGGGAGGTTCCTGATGAAATTTGGGGGTTCCTGATGGATGTCAGCTGTTTCCCGATGGAATTTTGGGGGGGATTTCAGCTGAACTTTGAGGATTCCCGATTAAATTTCGGGCATCCCCCATAAAACTCGGGACTCCCCGACAGATTTTGGGGTCTCCTCCCCCTTGTGACCCCTTTTTGAGCCCCAAATGCCCCTTTTCCAGGCACGGTGTCCTTGTGGAGCCCCAACATCGACGAGCCCGTGTCCCAGATCCTGGCGCACCGCGGGGCCGTGCGCGCCGTGGCCGTCGATCCCACGGGGAGGTACCGCCCCCAAAACCCGGATTTTGGGATCCAGCAGAGGATTTGGGGGGGATTTTGGGGGTCCCTGAGGAAATTTTCATCGTTTTTTGACAGATTTCTGTCAGATTTCGATGCGTTTCCATCAGATTTTTATGGATTTTGGGGGGGTCCTGGAAGGATGTTGGTCAGATTTTGATGGATTTCGTCCAGATTTTGACAGATTTCTGTGAGATTTTGACGAATCTCAGTAAAATTTTGATGGATTTCAGTCAGATTTTGACAGATTTCTGTGAGATTTTGACGAATCTCAGTAAAATTTTGATGGATTTCAGTCAGATTTTGACAGATTTCCATCACATTCTGATGGATTTTCGGGATTTTGGGACACCTGGGTGTATTTTGGGGTCCCCCCCTCACCCCTGATGGATTTTTGGGGGGTTCCTCTCCTCCCCCCTCAGGTTGATGGCCACGTCGGGGCTGGACCGGAAGCTGCGGATTTTCGACCTGAGGAATTTGGGGGTCCTGCAGGAGTGGGGGGTCCCAGCGGGGGCGGCCGACCTGCAGTTCAGCCAGAGGGGGCTCCTGGCGGCCACCTGCGGGGACCTGGTGCAGGTGGGACCCCAAAAACACACCAAAATGCTCCCTGAGAACCCCAAAAACACCCCCTGGGACCCCCAAATCCCCCCCAACCCCCTCAAATTCTCCTCAGATCTCCCAAAGTCCCTCCAAACTCCCTCAAATTCCACCAAACCCCACTGTGAACCCCCCAAATCCCTCGCCAACCCCCTAAAATCCCCTCCAAATCACCCCTAACCCCCCTAAACACCCCAAATCCCCCCAACTCCCCCCCAAACCCTCTCAAATTCCCCCCAAATCCCCCCCAAAGCTCTCGAAACCCCCTCAAATCCCCCCAAACTCTTGTTTTCCCCCCAGGTGTACCCCGGGGTGGGTTCAGGGGGTGCCCCCCGGCCCTTCCTGCAGCACCGACCCCCCAGACCCCCCCAGTGTTTGAGGTTCTGCCCCTTCGAGGACGTGCTGGGGGTGGGACACGGGGGGGGCTTCTCCAGCCTGCTCGTGCCAGGTGGGATTTGGGGGGGCTTTGGGAGGGTTTTGGGGGAGCTGGGGGGATTTGAGGGGCTTTGGGAGGGATTTGAGGGGGGTTTGGGGGGAGCTGTGGGAAATTGGGGGAATTTGAGGGGTTGTAGGAGGGATTTGGGGGCATTTGTGATGGATTTTGGAGGATTCTGGGGGGGATTTTGGGGGCGTTTCGGGTGGATTTTGGGGGCAATTCCCACTCTCTTCCCCCTGACCTTGGGGGGGGGTGTCCCCAAATCCCACCCACAACTTTGAGCTCCCCAAAATCTCCCCCAAAGGGGCGGGGGAGCCCAATTTTGACGCCCTGGAGAACAATCCCTTCCGGAGCCGGAGGCAGCGCCAGGAGTGGGAGGTGAAGGCGCTGCTGGAGAAGGTACAAATATGGGGGAGGGATTTTGACCCCAAAACATTCTCTCAAACCCCAAAACTTCTCCAAACCCCCCCCAAATCCCCTTCCCAAACCCGCCTAAATCCCCCCAAATCCTCACCAAACCCCCCAGACCTTCTCTGTGACCCCAAAATTCCCATTTTGACCCCGAAATTCTCGTTTTTTCCGCAGATTCCAGCCGAGCTGATCACCCCAGACCCTTCCCTGCTGTCCCTGGTGGACACGGCCGGGCTGGAGCAGAAGCACCAGGAGAGGATCCAGCGCCTGGTAATGGATTTTTGGGGGGGTCTCACCCCCCAAATTCGGGCTTCAACCCCCCAAAAGCCCCCAAAATACTCCTTTGGATGCCCCAAACTACTCCAGGACCCCCCAAGAGACCCCCAAACTACCACCCTGGGTGCCCCCAAAACCACCCCAGGACTCCCCACAGCACTCCCAAGACACCCTAAATCCCTCCCAGAACCCCCCAAAACATCCCCAGGACCCCCCAAAGGACCTCCCAAAACCCCCCAAAATCCCCTCAAATCCACCCCAGGACCCCCCAAATCCCCCCCAAGGATGACCCTGAACCTCTCCCTCCCCCAGGGCTACGACCCCCATTCCAAGCCCAAATTCCGGCCCCGGAAGAAGGGGAAGGGCCGGGACCCCGAGCACAGGAAGCGCCAGGTGGCCCACCAGGAGCTCAGGGTGAGCTTTTGGGGGGGTTGAGGGGGTCTGGAGGGGATTTAGGCGGTCTATGGGGGAGGTGGGGGGATTTGGAGGGGATTTAGGGGGAGCTGGGGGGATTTGGGGCATTTTGGGGGGGCATGGGGGGGATTTGGGAGTCCAACAGTGATTTTGGGGGTTCTAGGATGGATTTGGAGGATTAGGAGGGGCTGGGGTTGGGGATCTAGCGGCATTTTGGGGAAGGGGTGCCTCTTGAACCCCCTTTTTTTTTTTCAGGCCCAAATCCGTCAGAGTTTGGAGGAGAAGGAGAAGAGGGAGGAGGAGCCCCCCAAAAAGAGGGGGAAGAAGGGGATGGACCCCCCCAAAAAGAAAGGCAAGGGAGCAAAGGGCATCCCTGCCCCCAAAAAGGGGGTCCCTACCCTCAAAAAGGGGGCCCCCCCTCAAAAAAAAGGGGCCCTGGAACGGTTCAAGAAATAAATTGGGGAGGGGGCTCCATTTTTGGGGCATCCTGTGGTGGTTTTTTTTGGGAGGGTCCTGCTTTTTTGGCATCCCCAATGCATTCTCTCCCCATTTTTAGGGTCCCACTCCCCATTTTTGGGGTCCCCAAAATCCCCCCACCCATTTTTGGGGTCCCCAAGGCCCCTTTCCCTCCCATCCAAGGGCCACTGTGGGGTCACAGCCTGGGGGACTTTATTGGGGGGACAGGGGAGGAGCAACTGGGGACATCTGGGGACATCCATGTCACCCTTGGTGTCACCCTGTGACATCCTGTGACATCCATGCTCTTCTGTGAATTCCATGTCACCAGCTGTGTCACTGTCCCAGCTCCGTGTGACCTCCGTGTCACTGTCCGAGGTCCATGTGACATCCGTGTCACTGTCCGAGGTCCATGTCACCGTCCCACCCGTGTGACACCCATGTCACTGTCTCAGGTCCATGTCACCGTCCCACCCGTGTGACACCCACGTCACTGTCCCAGCTCCGTGTATCATGCACTTGACCTCCATGTGACCCCATTTCCAGGGGTCCCTGTCCCCATTCTCGGGGGGTGTCACCCCCCCCAGAGCCACTCCCACAGCGCCAATCCCCGGCACCGCAGCACCCCCAGCAGCCTCTGCACGACCCCGCACGCCCCCCCCGGGCCCCCCCAGAGCCCCCTGAGCTCGTGGGGGCGCAGGCGGTGGGCGCTGAACATCACCTCGCCCAGGCAGCACCGCTCGGGGGGGACCCTGGCCGACCCCCCGAACCTCGCCGAGTGGCGTGGCGCGACCCCCGCCCGGCGGGCGCACAGCCCCACCCACACGTCCTCGGGCCCCACGAGGGGCACGCGCGGCGCCGCCGCCAGCACCGCCGCCGCCGCCTGTCGCGACAGCACGTAGGCCGTGCCGCTGCAGTAGGGAGGGAAGGCGCTGTCGCGATAGAGCCGCGCGGGGACGTGGTGGCGGCTGCGGGGGTCGCGGTCGGGGGCCACGCGCCAGTGGACGCGGCCCAGGTAGAGGCGGCGGGGCGTGGAGGGTGACAACAGGTATGTCGCGATAGCGGGGGGGTTCACAAAGGTGTCGTCGTCAGCCTTGAGGACGAAGGGGGCCCCCCCGCAGCAGGTGAGGGCCCAGCGCAGCAGCAGCAGCGTCTTCAAGGTCAGGTTGGAGTAGGAGTCCCCAAAATCCCCCTGCAGGAGGTCCCCGTGGAGCCTCCACTCGCGGAGCAGCTCCCGCTGCGAATTCGGGGTGGGGGGCACTCCCAGCACGAAGAGGGTGCGGGTGACGGGGGGGGAGGAGGGGGTCGTGGTGGGCGGGGGTCGCCCCCACGTGTCGCGCACCGCGAGGCGCCGGGGGAGGTGGGAGGGGGCGCTGGGCACGAGGACGAGCAGAAAAGGGGGGGG